TTTAAAAAAAAAAAAAAAAAAAAAAGGACTATTATATACTTTTTTTTTGTTAATATTATAAATATAAATTAGTTAATTTATAATATTAAAATTTAAATTTTTAGAAATGAAAATAGAGGACAGAGATGTTTACGGGCCCCGTCCCGCGCAGTCCACTCCTTCGTCTTCCTCATGACAGTTCCACCCAAGCTTCTCTCCCATTCAGTTTCCAGTGCCCAAAAATGCTTCTCAAACCCTTCCATGGTTCTTCTTCAGCCACCGCTCAAATCCACAACCACCAAATTCTCAGACCTCTACCTCGCCCTTCCCTTCCATTCACCAACCGATCTCTCTCCAACTCCGCCGTCCTCTTCCGTTCACTTTCATCCCCTTCATATGTCAATGTCGTGCCGTCGCGGATTCGCCGCCGATTTGCGGTTCCTTACGAAGGTCATGAGCGGGAAGTCAGTAGCCTCGAGATTGAGAGCGAAGTCGACGATGGTTTACAAGCAAATGAGCAGTCATTAGGGAACCAAGGTTTGTTGAATCAGATGAAGGAGATCGTAACGTTTACTGGACCTGCTATTGGTTTGTGGATTTGTGGACCTTTGATGAGTCTCATTGACACTGCCGTTATTGGCCAGGGGAGCGCCGTTGAGCTTGCTGCTTTAGGTATTCTCGTTAATTTCTTCGACTTTTGCTTCCTTAACTTGAATTTTACTAATGGATTGAGAAAACTAGAGGACTTCAGTTTCTTGATTAGTACTATCTCATGGTGACTGTGAGTCTAAATCTTCTGAACTTGATTAGTTTGTAGTTTTTGACTGGCAGGCCCGGCTACGGTTCTATGTGATTATACGAGCTACGTGTTCATGTTTCTTAGTATCGCAACATCAAATATGGTAGCCACGGCCATTGCCAAACAGGTTCGACTAATAATAGAAGGATTTTCAATTCACTGTGCTGCATTTCTTGACCAGAAGGGCTATTGCAGGATAAAAACGAAGTGCAGCATCATATATCTATCTTGCTGTTTGTTGGGTTGACATCTGGTTTCTTTATGCTTGTCGCTACCAAACTATTTGGATCAGTAGCGCTAACTGGTACTGGGATTCCACATTATTGCTTAACTGAATAAAGGACTCATTGCATTCTATAATAATTTTATGGACTGTTCTTTTACGGTTCTCGCTTCATAGGAGCAAGAACTTTGTCATCTGTTAAAAGTTGTTATTGTCAATTTTCAGCTTTTGCGGGGCCAAAGAATGCAGACGTCATACCGGCCGCTAACAGATATATTCAGGTTTATTTTCTCTTTGAACATTACTTTCCCTTTTTTCAGTATAGAAATTCTAGTTTGTTCCGACTCTTTATGTTTGCTTTTATTTTGTTACATGTGAAGAGTTAACCTTTTTGGAAGAACAAATAAAATGATGTTTGGTTATCTAACAAATAGAGAATGAATGACCTTAATTTCTAGTTATGAGATATTTGTGTAATCCTATTAAATAAGAAAAATTTGTTGTTATCTAGTATCAAGGAATTTAGTTAGTCTTTTTGTATTACAAAAGACACATGTAACAAGAAATGTGAGTAAGATAATTTACACTTACAACATCGTATCAGAGCCATTCTATTCTGGGCGTGATTAATTGGCATAGCCTTATAGCCTTTCATAGCTACCGATTTTCCACTTGGCAAAATTTATTTGGAGTATTCATAACTACCAATCTTCCACCTTGACCAAATTTATTAGGAGCGTTCATAGCTACCGTTGAATTCATGTTTTGATATTGAAGTCCTGCGATCAATATTGCACATAAACTTATCCAGTCCAAGTTGGAAATGAATGATATCTATTCTGCAGCTTGAGGAGGAGTGTTGAGAGAATGATCTTAATTATATCTATATTATTCCTCTTCTTGAGTTATAATTCCTAGCCTATTTGTGTAATAATGGGAAGTAGCTGACCTTGGTGGCAAGCAGAGTTTTCATTTAGAATGTGATCACAACATACTCTTACGTTGACATGCTTTCATGATTTCTACTTTCAATGTTGACTGTCAATGTCCAAATGCTTCCATTATGATAGTTTTTTCAATGACTTTAAGCTGATCAAAATTCTTTTTCGTTGGTAGATTCGAGGTTTGGCATGGCCTGCAGTTCTCACTGGATGGGTTGCACAGAGTGCAAGGTTTGTATTACTAGATCCATGCCAATCTCATTAACTTTTTCTATCATAGCTACAATGTCCATGATTTCTGTTGGAATATGAAACCCCAAAACTTGCATTGTCATCTTTGCTTTGAAATTGAATAAAAAGGGTAAAAAAAAAACTGATATCCTTTCACATTTAGGCCATTGGTTTGCCTATTGATTTTCTTCATCACTATCACAACTTGTCCCATGTAGGTGTTAGATTTGAGGCCCTTGCCATTGCTCTTTACTTCATGATTTTCATTTGTGAACTTGAGCACAAATTGCAATAAGGTGTTTGTTTATTAATACAAATTGGATAAGTACGAGTAAAAGGAAAATAAGTTAAAGACTACTAAACAAAGTGGTGTTGAGAATTGTTGGTGGGGAGTCTCATATCGGCTAATTAAGAGGTTGATCATGTGTTTATAAGTAAGGAATACATCTCCATCTCCATTGGATGAGGCCTTTTGGAGAAACAAAAAATAAAGCCATGAGAGCTTATGCTCAAAGTGGACAATATCATACCATTATGGAGATTCGTGATTCCTAACAATTGGGGCAAATGCAATCCATTGTGCACAACATTGACAAAATATTTTGCGAACTTTCAAACAACTTCCAGTATAACTACACGAGTTACTTGAAAATTCTCCAAATTTATTAACTTTCGTTATCATTTTTGCTCTAGTCTTGGCATGAAGGATTCATGGGGACCGTTGAAGGCTTTGGCAGTTGCAAGTATTGTAGATGGCATAGGTCATCTGGTCCTATGCACGTTTTTAGGCTATGGTATTGTTGGTGCTGCTTGGTCAACTATGGCATCACAGGTATTCTTCTTTTTGTCTATGTCAATGTACCTAATTTCTATGCACTTATACTTGTTCATACCTCAAAACCAATCTCCTTCTTCTCCTTTATGGTTTTTAGGTTATTGCGGCTTATATGATGGTAGGAGCTCTGAACAAGAAAGGATACAGTGCATATTCTCCATCTGTTCCCTCAACTGGTGAATTTTTGTCAATACTTGGCATCGCTGCTCCCATTTTTCTAACCATGATGTCAAAGGTTCTATTTTATAAAACCCTTTTACATTCATCTGTTTTCATTTGAATAATGACTCTAAGACTGTGACCTTTTAGGTGGTCTTTTATTCTCTCCTCATCTATTATGCTACATCTATGGGCACACACACCATGGCTGCTCATCAGGTTCGTAATTCTCTTCATTTTTATCTCATGTGCAATATGTCTCTTTCTTTTCCATTGAAAGGCAATGGTCATGTCAAATTGATGGTTTGCCATTCACCTTAGGTCATGGTTCAAACGTTTTGTATGTGTACCGTATGGGGTGAACCTCTTTCTCAAACTGCTCAGTCATTTATGCCTGGATTGATCAATGGAGTGAATCGTAATTTGGATAAGGTGAGAACTCTCATTTCTAGTGACGCGTTTTTTATAAGGGTGTGGAAACGTCTCCCTAGTAGACGCGTTTTAAAAACCTTGAGGGGAAGCCCGAGAGGAAAAGCCCAATGATGGGTAACTTATGATTGTAGAACCCGTTCTTTATGGATAGTCATTGAATTTATTGTGGAAACCCTTTAATGTTATGTAGGCTCGAATGCTGCTCAAGTCACTCTTGATCATAGGAGCTATATTTGGTTTAGTATTGGGGACCATCGGAACATCGGTTCCTCGTTTTTTCCCGAATCTCTTCACGCCTGAAGAAAAGATCATTCAGGAGGTTGGTTCTTGATATCAATAATACTAGATGTGTTATATTGTGTAGACGCATGAAGTGTTGATTCCATATTTAGTTGTAAGGATAGTTATTTGTATATAAATTCTCTCAATCATCTGTACATGCAGATGCACAAAGTGTTGACTCCATATTTCTTGGCGCTAGTCATAACGCCCCCAACTCTTTGCTTAGAAGGGACATTATTGGTATGTTTGCTTTCCTTAAAGATTCTACTGAAGTTTTTGTGGCTGAATTGTACGTTTACTTATCTTTCTTTATCACATAGAGAAAGATTATAAACAAATATAAATCATCAGGTTATGAACCACGACCTCCATAATAGTATGATATTGTCTACTATGAGTATAAACTCTCATGACTTTCCTTTTTGTTTACCCAAAAAGTTTCGTACCATTGTAGATAGTATTCCTTACTTATAAACTATGACCTTCCCCTTAATTAGCCAACGTGAGACTCCTCTCCCAACAATTCTCAACAATCCTCCCCTCGAACAAAGTACACCATAGAGCCTCTCCCGAGGCCTATGGAGTCCTCAAACAATCTCCAATTAATCAAGACTCGCCTCCTTCTCTAGAGCCCTCAAACAAAGTACACTCTTTCTTCGACACTTAAGTCACTTTTGACTACACCTTCGAGGCTCATAACTTCTTGTTCGACACTTGAGGATTCTATTGACATTACTAAGTTAAGGGCATGCCTCTAATACCATATTAGGAACCACGAACCTCTACAATAGTATGATATTGTCTACTCTGAACATAAACTCTCGTAACTTTGCTTTTGGTTTACCCAAAAGGCCTCGTACCAATAGAGATAATATTCCTTATAAACCCATGATCTTCCCCTTAATTAGCGAATGTGGGACTCATCCCCCGACCATTCTCAACACATCATAGTTTATAGTTTATACAAGTGAGAATTGATGAAAATTTTCTCAAGGGGGAGAAATTGAAGAATGCCTTATTCAGTTTGTACTGAAATCTTCAAACTTTCCTGAATTCTTGACGTTAATGCTTGCAGGCTGGACGAGACCTAAAATTTATTAGTTTGTCAATGTGTGGATGCCTTTCTCTTGGTGCCCTCTTATTGCTGGTAATTTTCTGTCTCCCAACCTTAAATCTCATTCTTGACTGTTCTTTTATTTCTTCTTCTCTTTGTGCATCAACTTTACTGCTACTCTCAGGTTATAAGCAGCAGGGGTTATGGTTTGGTGGGCTGTTGGTACGCCCTCGTAGGATTTCAATGGGTAAGAACAAGACATCTCTTGCTTTCTTTAGCTGCAAATAGCTGCTCTTCTCACCTTCTACAATTTCCTTTCTGTTAGGCTCGGTTTCTTAGCGCTCTTCGGCGTGTCCTCTCGCCCGATGGAGTGCTTTACTCTAGTGATTTAAGCCATTATAGACTGGTAAAGCAGAAGGCTGCATAGGTGACAGTCCATGCGACCTTACAGTAGGGGCATAATTCAATGCCTTTTCGATGTCGTCGTTGTTCTGGATCGAAACCAAAAGGCCGTGAAGCCTGAAGACAGCATAAATTAGCCTTATGATTTGACAGCAGCTCTTGGAGGTTCTGCTCCTTGGATGAAGCTGTAACAGAAAACAGAGCAGCTTTATCTTTGGGTATATCTGCTATGATGAGCTCGTTGGTAATTTCTGTCGTAATTCATGATTTGATTTATTATTCATTCGGTTTGCAGATTATTTTGAAAAAAAAAAAATCATATTAAATTTATATAGGTGAAAATACTTGTGTTACAAATTTCATTCATCTATCTTAATATAAATACTTTTAAAAGAAAATAGTTTCATTTATATTTATTTTTTATTGAGATTATTATTATTATTGTTGTTATTATTTGGTGTTACAAAATTAATTTAATAAGTTGATATTACAATATTTTTATTTATTTTGAGAGTAATTGAGAGGGAAAGGAATATGAACAAACGCGAGCTAATAAGCAATAATTTTCAATTTTCTGTCCCACTTGGTATAAAAACTTGAGCGCCAAATCTCTAGTCTTATTGTTAATCATTGTTTCGGTATTTCGTGAACTGTTCGTTTTGCAGTCAATTAATGGCTGATGAATCTATATCCCTATTGGGGTTTTTCTTTTGGAGGCCAAATTTTAGGACTTAATCAACTCCATGAAAATTCAGTATGATTTTGTATGCTTTTGGTTATGGGTAGATGCATCTCATATGTGAACGTTGCAATTTTTTATCGCTATAATTTCTCACAAAATAAATAATGAGAACGAGATTCATCATTAAAAAATAAGTTGAAGTGCGATAAAATTGAAAGTTAATGAACTAAAAGACAAATCAATCTCGAAACAAATAATTGAGTAGGAATGAGGTATAACAAAGAATTGACTAGGAACGAGGTATAAAGAAATAGAAGACGATGATGTGAGAAAAAAAACACAAAGGAAGACATTTAGAGAAACAAAATTGAACGAAGGTAAAGGAGAGGAAATGACAATTGATATGAAGTAAAAAATAAATAAAAACATGCGAGTCTCACGTCGTAAGAAATGAGAATGAGATTGATGACAAATGATATGAAGTAAAAAATAAATAAAAACATGCAAGTCTCACGTCGTAAAAATGAGAATGAGATTGATGACAATTGATATGAAGTAAAAAATAAATAAAAACATGCGAGTCTCACGTCGTAAGAAATGAGAATGAGATTGATGACAATTGATATGAAGTAAAAAATAAATAAAAACATGCGAGTCTCACGTCGTAAGAAATGAGAATGAGATTGATGACAAATGATATGAAGTAAAAAATAAATAAAAACATGCGAGTCTCACGTCGTAAGAAATGAGAATGAGATTGATGACAATTGATATGAAGTAAAATAAATAAAAACGTGCGAGTCTCACGTCATAAAATATGAGAATGAGATTGATCACCCAGAAAAAACTAGAAAAACAAAATTGAAAGAGAACAATAAAATAAATAGTGTGAGTCCCACGTAATGAGATGAGAATGAGATTGATCACCTTCTCTTTAATGAAAAATGGAAATGAAATGGATAAAGTTGAATTAATGTCATTCATGAATTTAGGTAGGTCCACAATTTATGTTTAATAACAATGGATATAACTTCATAAATTTTAAGTTAAAGATTAAAATAGCATCTTGAAAAGTAAGGTTCAAGATAATTGAAAGGCCAAAATAGGAAGCATTACCAAATTGTGATTGAGAATGTGGTTGAGCAAGAAGCCAGGGAGGGTGAGACTAAGAATCAACTTCAGGATCATAGCCAACCTGCGATGCAGAGATATAAGCTCAATTAGCTAATGGGTATTATTCTAAAATGATCAGGAAAACATAAGATACACCCAAATGCATAAGAAATTGCGAAGAGCACCTTCACAGCATTATTATAATCTGAATCCCCAAGCTTCCCATGTAGAAACCACAACAACCCATCAGCTTGATGTAATAATGTGGCAGATTCTTTGTTCGAGTCAGCACTGTTCCACAATAAACCCAGCTTGCATAAAGTAGATGAAGCAGAGCAGACTGAATGGTTCACTGGAGCAATAGACCTCAGGACAGCTCTAGTTGTACAAGAAGGCCTTTGATGTTACAAATCAGAAACCTCCACGATGGTATGATATTTTCTGTTTTGAGCATTAGCTCTCATGGCTTTCCTTTTGGTTTCCCAAAAAAGTCTCATATCAATAGAGGCAGTATTCATTACTTAGAAATTCATGATCAATCCTTTAATTAACCGATGTGGGACTCCTCTCTCAACAATTCTCCCCTCGAACAAAGTACACCATAGAGCCTCTCCTGAGGCCTATGGAGCCCTCAAACAGCCTCCCCTTAATCAAGACTCGACTCCTTCTCTAGAGTCTCACTTGAGTCACTTTTGACTATATCTTCGAAGCTCACAACTTTTTTGTTTGGTATTTGAGTATTCTATTAACATGGCTCTCATACCACGATTCTCCACAATGGTATGATAGTGTCCACTTTGAGCATTAGCTCTCATGGTTTTGCTTTTGGTTTCCCCGAAAGGTCTCATACTATGGGAGATAGTATTGCTTACTTATAAATTCATGATCAACCCCTTAATTAACCGATGTGGGACTCCTCTCCCAACAATCTTCAACGTTTGACAATGGCTGTCCTGTATTGCTGCGAAGTGTATCTGCTAGACTTTAGATGGAAGGAACACCAAGTCTAATGAAGGGCAGAAATTTATTAAGCATGAAGACTTGCCAACAATTATGGTAGTTGCATTGAAATGGATGCCACCAAATGACTGACAATGATTTTGAACATCTTCAAGCAGTGAAAAAAGTGTTGTTTTCCACGATCTTCCCCAATCCATTGTTTCATCGCTTTTCCTAGACAGCCATGCCCAAGTACTGTGTTCATGTTGCTATGAATGAACTGCATGATCACTTCGTACACAGTTGGTACAAACCAACAGCGTCAACCTGTTCAAGCATTGTCATAACAAAATTTTCCTTGCAATTCCAGAAAAGGGCTTCTTTCTTAATTACTCTCCATATTCACCAAGTTCGGAACAAACTCTCTAACCTCACAATCATAAGGGAAGTTAGTAGCTCAAAAACTTGAAATTAAGCTACTAGAAAAGTGGCATTAAGGAGATCTGAACCTGTAATTTTGAAATTTTTTCTTACATATCATTGAGATTGAAGTACTTGACTTAATTTTGATCTAAGCAGTGCGACAGTGAAGCCATTCAACTCCGTAATCAAAGACAAACGAGGTACGAGTCATCTTTCATCAATCATGTCCTCTTTCGAAGCAATTTCACTTTTCAAGATTCCAAACAGTTATCTCGTGATAGTCAATCGTTGATCGAACTCTAAAAAACACATCAACCAATTTACGCGATCCTCCATTATAGATATCTTTATATAGGCTAGGTTTATCTCATCCATCAGCTAATTGAAAACAAGATTCCCCTAATTACACTACAAGTACGAACATGACTTCAAATGATCACATGATTAATAGCTTCTGTAATGTACCTTATAGAGTAGCCACTCCCTCTTTCCTTCCGCACAGACGTCCCTTCAATGTCAATCAGAGCAAATCATGCCCTAGAGGTACCAAAATCCATCCCAAGAGAAGGCACCACATCGGTTTCAACACTCATTGTTGTCCGTCTTCGTTTCCTTCAAATTCGTTTCCTCGAAATCCAAATGCCTAACGCCTAAAGATCATCCACTAACCTTCAAAATTCACTTTCGATTAACATAAAATCAACCTACATTCTTGACGAGAACTAACGACAATTGATCAGAAACTTCGCTCAGATAAAGTTTCCAATAATTGAAAACAATACTAAAAAAGCAATATCATCCAGTAGAGACAGAGAGAGAGATAGAACCATGTTCAGAGCACGAGCACGGGATTGATGGAAGCAAGAACAAATTCACAGCCGGAGGAGAAGATTGGAAGGAAGCATAATTCTGGGAAGTTCGTTCTGTTTCTCTTCAGAATTGGGCTCTCTGTTTATATACGGATTAAGAACGGCGACAGATTCTCTGCCCATAAATTATTTCTCATTTTGTCTCTTACTAAAAATTGTATAATAATTTTCTGAATTATTTTATTTTATTTTATTTTTTATATCTAATTAGTTAATTCATTTACTTCAATTTAATAAAATCAGTTAAATATAATTTATGAATCTATTAAATAGTTTAAAATACAAAAATAAATTTAAAAGTTCACAAATTAAATCTATTATTGAAATTTTTTTATACAATATTAGATTATAGTTATTCGGTATCTCCTTGATGGCTCGGGTCCTCGAAACGAGGTTCTTTGCCCTCTATCTAAGCTATGCAGAAAAGACTCGAAGCTAATTCTGTAGAATAGTGAACCTTCACCGAGTCTTTTTATTTAGGTATAGGTAGGTTCTGAGAATTCTTAAATTCTCTCGGATTCCGAACGTGATAAAAGTAATTTTAATTATTTTAAAATATTTTACGAGAAAAATGTGATTTTAAAATTAATTAAATTAGATCGGTGGGTTTGTATTTTATTAAATAATTTTAAATAAGGATTTGACGAAATAGTAATTAAACTAAAAATTATTATGTTCTTGAAATTCCTTTATTCCACAATGATCCCTTGCTTTAATTACACTGACCTATACAAAATAATAATTTTTAAATGAAGACCTACACAAAATAATAATTTTTTTAAATGAATAAATGCCCATAAATAGTTTTGACCATTGAATGCTGTTAGATTTTTTTTTTTTTCTTTTTTTTGAGATAAAGAATCTTTTAATAACTATATATATATAGTTATATATATATAGTAATTAATAATATATACTTATTTTTATGTGGTTGGAATTTCAAATTTCGATATTCCGCTAGTAGATATTATCCTCTTTGGACTTTCTCTACCGTTAAAGCTTTAAAACACGTATGCTACGGAAAAGTTTTTACACCCTTATAAAGGGTGTTTCGTTCTCCTCCTCAACTAATGTAAGTTCTCACAGTCCACCTCTTCAGGGTTCAGTGTCTTCGCTGACACTCATTCTTTTCTCCAATCGATGTGGGATCCCCACCAAATCCACCCCCTTTGAGGCTAGTGTCCTTACTGGCACACCGCCTCGTGTCTACCTCATTCGGGAAACAGCCTTCTCGCTGACACATAGTCCGGTGTCTGTCTCTTATACTATATGTAACGGCCAAGTACACCGCTAGCAGATATTGTCCTCTTTAATACAGTAACAACCTTAAAGTAAGTAAAAAAAATTCGGATCATTACATAAAATTTATTTTAGCGAATGATGTAACAAAATAATTAATATATATATATATAGTACAAAAAAATGTATATTTTAAAATTAACAATAAATTTGGGTTCGTTCCATTCAACCCAATCTAGTTTTAGGATAACTCGTGAGCTAACCCAATGTATAAAATTTTCATTTATTTGAACTCAACTCGATTCAATTGAGTTCACAATTTAACCCACATTGCATAAGTTAGATAGGACTGATTGGATTTCTTTTCGGATCATCAGATTTTTTTACACTCCTATCCATATGGTTTGTTCGTCCAATATTATAACGAAATTTTAGACATTTTTTTTAATATAATAAACAAAATAAAAACTTAGAAAATAAATAATAAAGAAAAAAAAACAAAAATACTATGGTTTATCAAACAAGACCAAAGTCTTTAGTATTGGGAATTAAGAAAAAAACTGCAATGATTGATGGAATAATAATAATTTGTCATAAGATCCGCAAACTAAATCTCGTGGGTGTCTTAAGTTGGCGTGACAAGATTTACAAAATTAGGGTTTCAATTATTAATGTCTCGTTTATAATTGACATCCATCACATTAGGTTAAAACTTGCATTTATTGCAATCTACCCCCCACATTTATTTTATTTACCTCCTTATATTTTAACTTATCCATTCTGGAAAATGGGAAATAAAATAATAATTCAAAAGTCAAAATAAATGCTACCCGTCACAATTTTCCATAACCTTAGTTCGAAAAATTCAAAAACTAGATCAGTTCAACTCATTCCGTATAATTTGTGTAATGATTCGAAATTTTCTACTTAATTTAAGATCGTCACTGTGTACATGTCATAATCATTGAATGCGAAAGTATTTCATTTAAATTTTCATAAAACGTCACGTTCATCTTAAAACACAACTATGGACCTATGTGTTTAAAAACACCTTTAAAAACTATCTGGATAAAGTTCGGTTAGATTACATATCTATATTTATTTTGTTTTTATAATTATTTATTTTCCCGACCTCTCTTTAAAATAATTTTTAATGAAAGTGAAAATGATAAATTTTAAATTAAAACTTATGTTTATTAAAAAAACAAAAATTAAATAAATGATCTTAATATCGTAAACGAACCCAACAAAAAAGAATCACGATTTTGTTGGGTTGAGTTTATTATTTAATAAATATTATTTATGTTGAAAAATGACGGTCTAAATATTTGATTTTTTTTATTAATTTTCATTATTAAACGTTCAAATATTTCAACTAAATTGAAAATTCATATTTGTTAAACGAACAGGACTCTCTACAATGGTATGATATTGTCCACTTTGAACATAAACTCTCATCACTTTGCTTTGAGCTTCATACCAACAGTATTCCTCGTTTATAAACTCATGATTATTTTCCTAAATTAGCAGACGTGAGACTTTCATCCTCCTATGATATTTACGCATTTAAAATTAAAATAGACATTTTTTTTAAAAGGTAATATTTTATCTAATTCTATTTAATAATATTATAATTTTGGAATATTTTGAATGATTATGTTTTCTTAATTAGTAATGATTTAAATGGAATAAATAAATAAATATTTATTTCACAATAAGTAAAATACATTGGCTTTAGGATTGCTTCAATTTATTGTACAAACTCTTAATAGATTCATTTAATTCTTTTTAATAAATATATTTGTTCTATGGAATTTTTAAATATTTATTTATTATTTTTTAAAAACAAAAAATATAAAATATTCACAAGTTGAAAAAAAAAAAGAAATTAAAATTATTCTAATGGGTATTAAAAAAATGGAGATATTGTTGAGAGGGTAGAGAATTGCTTGACCGTTTGGCTATTGTTCTTTCCCACACCAAAACGAGTGGCCAATGTGGAATTTCCCACCGCCATTTCATTAAAGACCAAAATACCCCTCTGTGACATCTTATTTTACGCAACTCTTCCGCAAGAGATACAGAAACATCGACACCATTTTCGTCTTAAAAAATGCTGTGGTTCATAATACGTACTCTTTTTAAGCTTAAATTAATAAGGAAATACCATTCTTGCCCTCTATTTAATTAAAATTATTTTCAGCATTTAAAGTAGGGGTACAAAAGTAAATTTTATTAAGTCCCTTTTTTTATGTTTTAATTTTTTAAATTATTTCGGTAATGGTTATTATTTTATTAGCCCAACAGTTATTATTAAAACTATATATTATATTGGTTGAGCTAAATAAAAGTTAGCTCATAATAATTACAATTTTTAGAAAGCCTTTTAAGGAAAAAAAAAATAATTATATAAAGTCGAAAGAAAATAAAAAGATTTTAAAACTTTATATGTTTGTATTATTTGAATATTTACTATATACAATGACAAAGTTGAAAGAATGACGTGAATTATTAATTATTATTTTTTATTTTTCCATTTTAATAAAATCATTGAAAACGACAAAATAAAAATTTCCACAATTGCAAACTGCCTCGTGGCATAACCTTATTACGTCTTTAATTTTTAGTTGTTATTCACTATTATTATTTTTTTAACCACGTAAAAAATTTACAATTAATTTAATTAATAAAATAAAATTTTAATTTAAAGCTCGATTAAGGACCAAATTAAAATAAAATTTTAAAATTAGGATATAAATATAGTATTTTTAAATTTTGTGACTAAATTAAATTTATATTAAAAAAAAGTATAATTAAAGAGTATTTTTTACCCCAACAAAAAAAAAAAAAAAAAAACCAATTATTTGAAATTATTGTATGTCTATCCAACGTGCCTTTTTCTAGCTTATAGGCTTGTACTAATAATTAAATTATATAAAAAATATAAATATATTTCTTTTTCAATAGGATAGATATCAAATTCACAATTTAACTATTTTAATATAAATAGTTTAATGTATATAACAAAATTATCATATTTTAAATTATTAAAATATTTACAAATTAATACAGTAAATTTGTGAGAGTTCCACGTTGGTTGGGGAGGAGAAAGAAATATCCTTTATAAGGATGTGGAAACCGTCTCGTAGCAGACACGTTTTAAAGCTTTGAGGGAAAGCTCAAAGAAGACAATATCTACTAGCAGTGGATTTGGGTAGTTACAAATGATATCAGAGCTAGACATCGAACTATCGAATTATATGCCAGCCTAAGGGAGTTCCACATTGATTAGAGAGGAAAGAGTCCAGCAGTGGTTTATTTTTATTCATTTTTCAAATAACCATTGTATTTCCATTAAAAGGGTTGCGAATATTGAAAATAAAATAAAAGGGAAAATAGTAATAAATAAAAATAATTAATTTGTCTTTTTTTAGATAAATGGTTATAATTGACGGCCGCTGTCATTCTTTTCTTCCCGCTCAATGGACGGTTTAACTTTCAAAAACCCATTTATTAACGCGGGGGGACGTGTCATTCAAATTCAAAAAAACTTCCATCGTTAAGACGTTGCCACGTCAGCCGTTTTCTCCACGTCATCACACGTTTGGTAAAACTTAGAAATTTTGTAATCCGCCCCGGAAAACGGCAAACATAATTAAAAAAAAAAAAAAAAAAAAAAAAAAAAAAAAAAAAAAAAAAAAAAAAAAAAAAA